TTCAACAAATGTGGAAAACTTCCATGTGTATAAAATGCAACCCTGACCGACTGCTAGCCAGGGCTAAATATCCGGTTCTACCGGGGGGCTCTTCCCCCACCGGAACCGGGCTGGTGGCACCAGCAGATGGACCACGCCGGTTCCCCCCCGGTTAGAATTTGCGCCGACTTGTCGTGGCAAATTTTGAATTTTTTTGGGGGTCGGGAGGCCTCCTTGCGGGTTGTGGAGGCCTTCCGGCCCCCCAAAAAATTGAACCGGGTCCTGTAAGCCCGCCATAATCTTGAAAAACTGGCGGCCTATCTGGACCGTCGATCTGATGAGATCGGCGGCCCAGATATCGTCAAATTTCCAACATTCTGGCGGGAAAACATCCGAAGTCGAACTGGCCAGCGTCGGCCCCTCCAACCCAGTGTGAAGCCAACCATACTCGTCACTTCGACACTTCGTCGCCGTGACGAGTGAGGGAAAACAACCGAGAGCGGACTGCACCCCTCGTCACGTCGGGCACGACACGCCATCGCCTCCCCCCCCCAGTCATTCACCGGTCAAGGTAAGTGGTTGTATCTTTCTTCTTCTTCTTCTACTTCTTCTTCTACTCCTCCTTCTTCTTCTCCTCCTCCTTCTTCTTCTCCTTCTTCTTCCCTTTAATGGTGTTTTCGTTATAAGTGAAATTGTTTTCCTGTTCACTTTTTTTCTTAACTGTAAAATGACAGAACGAAATGAGGAAATTATAGACGAAATAACGACAAAGCAAAATAACAACAAATCGAAATAACGACAAAGCAAAACAAGGACGAAACAATGTTCATAGCAATGCAAAGTTGAAGGAACGACAAAACAATGATGAAAAATTAATGTGACAGTCATGCTCCTGTGTTGCCTGTGCTCAAAATATAATACAATGTTAAGTTTTTACCTCGGATGTTTACACCCAGTAAACATGTCAATCTCATCAACAAAATATTAACTACGGACTGTAGCTTTAGTCGCACCTCATTGACTTTCCTATCTAATCATGGACAAAATGTCAAATGCTATTCTAAGCCTCATATCAGAAATATTGGCTTGTGAGAAAGCAAATGGAGGGAAGTGGCCCCTTGCAAGCAAAGATGCAAAACATAACATAAAAACAATACAACTACAAGCATCCTCTTGAGTAGGAATCCCATCTACTGATGTATCAAAGGAGGATGTAGGCCCGTTCACATGATATCTTTCGCGAGGATTGTGTCGATGAAACTCCGCTTCGAAAAAATCTTCCAAACGTCCAAGGACTGAAACATAGTCAGCACGAGGGAGAGAGTCTATGAGGTGGAATTTACAGTTCGGACCGTTTATGCTGACATAAGCTAATGCCCAGTGATTTTCAAAATGAAGAGGGATAATCACTAAGTCATAATAAAAAAGATTTGTGTCCTTCACCCATTTCATCCTTTCGGAATATGCGGTTTGAAACCTCAAAGGACCTGACAATCGAGTGAAGAAAAAGAAATTAAAAATGTACACAAAAGGAACTCTATCTCTTGTCACATCTGTATATGCCGAATCAACCTTGATATGATCATTGGTGATCTGGACGGCTAGCAGGTACAAATTGACGACTTCGTCATTTAGCCATTTCCCATCCTCGACGACGACCATGATGTCTTCCTTTCCCACCTTCCAGCTCCCCTTGTAATCAACAATATCCTATGCGTCATTGTCTTCGCTGCTGCATGTAATCATGTCAAGATACTCCTTTTCTTCTACGGTGAGGCGTTTTGTTGATAAAGGAATCTGGAATGAAGGGTTATGAACTGCATACAAACACACATATAAACAACAATGGAACAACTAAGACTTCATACAAAAACGAACTGTTCGTTATGTGATGTACGACGTAGACCCGAGTTCATGTTTTTGGTTGTCTATCTGTTTCGCTATCAGAGCTGCCATCCATAATAGATAAACTGCAAACTTCACGATGCAATTTCTTCCCTTCTCTGAGGCTTATTCCAAAAACTTTAAACATCCTTAGGGCAGCTGGCTTCATAGATGGAAATGTCATGGGTGTAAGTCTTCTTCTCTTTTTTTTTGGTAATAACGGCAAAGTCGATAAGGCTTGCAAGCCACGACGAATAATATTCTTCTCACTATGCCTTTGCGAACGTACGTGCGTCGTTTTCCATAGTTCTTTTCGTCGCCCTGCATGTTCAGCAATATAAAACGACAATGATTGACAAAACAAAACATTATGAGTTAAAGTTCAATTTTTCAGATAATTGCAAATAAGAGATACACAATATTCTACTTCATTTCTTCTCATGACCGAGTGCACGGTTGCAAACCTAGGCAAAAAATTAGTTTCTATGAGATAAGTGCATGTACCCCCTAATCCGCATACAGTATTAGATATTCCCTTAGAGATAAGTACGTGCTCACCTCGGTGGCTCACTAACGCTTTATCTTCAACACGACCTTCTATCGCACCATGGGATGGTGTAAAAGGAGATTCGTCGATAGATATCACGAGGTTAGCAGACTGTTATGCTTCTGATTTTGCAACCATAAGTTCAGGTTCTACAAGCATATGTTTCTCCTGTGTACTTAGTACTATATGTCCTTCATCCTCTTCAATGACCTGTACATTGGCAGTTTCGTTTGCACCTGCAGTCGCGCTTTCATTCTTCATGTCCAGAGAGACTTCATGCTCATCTTTCTCAGCTGACATATGCAATGGCATCTCTAATTCTGCAAGTGCACCAGTATTATCCACTTACGCAGTAACACTCTAGCTCGCCAACACAGTGGTCGCCCAAACTTGGTCATCCGGAAGGACGTCCTCGACAYATTTCGGCAGTTCTCCATGACTTACGCCATTGACGCTTGCACCGCCGCTTCCTCCCAAATCCTGGTCACTTGCATCGCCTCTCGATACCCTGCGATGTGCACCGCCGCTTGGTCCTAATCCCAGAGGCGAACCCGATCCCCTGCAATGTGCACCGCTGCTTGGTCCTAATCCAAGAGGCGAACCCGATCCCTTGTCATGTGCACCGCCGCTTGGTCCTGATACCTTTCCCTCTGTTGCTTGACGCCCTTGACACATTTCGTGTTTTTGTAGTTCACCATGACTTATTGGCTTTCCACTTGCACCGACGCTCGGTCCCAGGCCCTTGCCACTGGCACTGCACCGTGGTTCCRATCCCTTGCCATGTTCACCACCACTTGATCTTGTTCTCTTGCCAAGCGCACCGCCGCCTGATCCTGATCCCTTGCCACTCTCATCGCCGCTCGCTCCTTTCCTTTCCCCAACTTTGTCTTCAAGTTCCTCTTCGATACGCCAATTATATCCAAAAGTTGGACTTGTKTCTCGATCATAGAACTTTTCCAGATACTCAAGCCATCGAGATATTTTGAACTCCTGAAAGATTTCGTCTGTCCTTGCATCCAGTCTTGATTGAGAAACCTTTGGATTAAGTCGCAGTAGTCGCTTGCCAATCTCATTTTTGGCGTGTGTGACAAACTTGGATCGTGACATACGTCTGTGGAGGCAAAATTGCCACTCCCCTTCTTCTTTTATAGCCATTACCCAGTTTCCTCTCGCCAATGCAGGTTGGAAGTGGTGGGGGTGCCATATAATGTGATGACCCCATACGTTGTCAGGCATCACCGTATAATCGTCTCGGCACACAACAGGTCCAGGAAGCCGTGCAATATCCGGAGGGATGATGTCTTCAATCTCGTACTCCAAAGGCTCAGACGGAGGTGGTTGAGGAGTTTGAGAGCGTAGCAATTCCAAAACAGTAGTCGGGCTATGTGCAAGTGCTGACAGACTTGCCATAACCTCTGGGGAGAGAGTTGCCTGCACCCTCGGATCATCCCGAACTGCGCCGGAAGATAGCGCTGTTGTGTTGCCCGCCATGTAACTGGTCCATTGAAACTGGTCCGTTGTAACTGCCATACTCGAAGCCCCCCCAGAACCGGACGATTTGCCCGGCGCACCCATCTTCTGCGAAGCCGAGCTACAAGCTTTTTGCCTCTCATMTGCCAAAGCCGCTTGCAAAGTACCATCTTCACTTTCTTCCTCTGAGTCTTCAACATCGAAGCCTTCCCCAAAACAAGTTGCATAAGCTGCGATTGTAAATGCCCTGATTTGTCCGTCGAAGTACATCATCTCCAAACGGTCTAGAAACGCAACTTCCGTCTCCGCCGGTGCCTTATGATACCCCCTCAAAAGTGGTTCAATTTTTCGCCTTCTGATGACATATGCACGTTCCCCTCTGTTTTGTGGCTTAGTCTCAAAAAGGAACTCCCAAATGTTGACGATGTTTTGGTCGACTTTGTAGACGASATCACGCTTTTCATCATGTCGAGGAGGCGGCTTAACAAAGTTGGCGAAATAAAGTCCACTCTTGACCATCTTGGTGACGAATTGAACGAGAAACTCGAACTTCATACCCTCCCCTTCTATAACAATGCAATGACGGTGACTCTTTAACAACTCTCAAATCAACGCCGCATGGCATTTTCCTAGGAAAACAATCRCGTCATCYGCAGGACAAAAATGCTCCAATGTCTCCACCATCGCATTTGGCTCCCTTTCCATACCTTCGTACACCAGTTTCTCTTTTGGCTTCATACCTGCCATTTTCAACTTCGTGCGCGTGAAGTTCTTCTCCACGACATCAACAAACATCTTTGACCTTCTCTCTTTGCGCACAATTGCTGATAAGTCACCCGCCTGCTCGCCAGATTATTGATCTGCAGCTGGAGTGCTTGTTGGAATGTCTTCAAGCAAGGGAATAGTGTTGCGGTGATAATCCCCATCGTTGGAGTACATGATGACAACCATTCTGTCTGTGTCCTCCAAAGGCAATTTCGCAACCTTATATAAATGCTTCGCCTTCGTTTGTTGCTGACGACTCCACTTTAGAATAGACAAGTTAATGTCAATCTCCCAACTTGTAACTCGCTTGAAAAATGTATACTAGTAAGACCGCGGAACGAAGCACAATAATATCCAATAATCACCAGCCAGTTTTCCCATGAACTTCCGTAGACTATCAAAGACTTCTTCAGTCCACACCCCTATCTAGGTTGGGTGACACAAATCCAGCACGGCTGTGTGGCAACTCAGATGTTTGACGACCCTGTATATTTCCTTGGAATCCATCTCGTCTGAAATATCGCTTGGTTCCCGTTGGAATGGGACGAAAACAGAGTTCACGTTCTGTTTTTTGAAATGTATATATTGCACCGAGCCCGACATTCTTATGCTTTCCGAACCCCTGGTTTCCGATCTGCGCAGCAGCTTGTTGACAAACTGCATGAACTCTTCTGGGCACGTTGCATCAAGTGACGCTGTTTTCTTAAATCCCTCTTCTCCTTTTCCCTCCTCTCCTCCAACTGTAGTCGGGAACGTTCGCACCCAACACATGTCTTTGAAATGGCGACGCTGGTCGATCCACCTCTCGGACGTCAATCCTTCATCAGAGTACTTATCAAACAAATCGGAAAGGTTGTTGAAGAATGGTTCCGTCCACTCTAACGACTTTCTGTGAGGGTCAGAAATGAAGACGAAGTAGTGAAACATCCTTAACATTGCTCTTTCAATCTTCACCATTTCCACATATGTTTCCGTTGAATGTTTCCCGGCACGTTGAGCAGCTCCACTTTGCTTAGGAGTCAGTATCACACTGCCTGTGAGAATATCTCGCAACGGTTGCAGCCGCTCACGCCTCCCAAGCGCTGAAAAAAACTTTCACGCTCTGATATCCGGATCGTGCGCAGCCACAAGGTAACTAGGTCCTTTGGTACCCTGAACCCAGTGAATCGGATATCTAACTCCACCTTTCAACTCAAATCCGGATCCAGCCCTCGGTGCCTTCCCTGATTCACCTTGTTTGGTAGCAGGCTTCACAGCATCTCTTCCCGACAATTGTCCAGCTTCCCAAGCGGCATACACTTGTTTCACCTTTTCGAAAACGTCATCTGTCGCCCTTGCCAACAACATGTAGGGCCCGAGGTCATCAGACCATTGACCGCTTCATTGAGTAGTAAGGGACATGTCAATCAAATTACGAATCCCGGTCAAATGAAGAGCCTCTCCTGCAAACTTTCTATACTCTGCATTTTTCACTTCTGCCGTTGAGCCGCCTTTAGCTTCAGGACAGTTCGACTTGTGCCACAACTTCCGTATGTTCTGGATAACCACGATCTGGTGCGGTGGGGTATTCCATTTGTCCTTGGCGTTCTGGAAAGTGCTCAGCATGCCGTAATTGTCCATGCTCTTATCTGGATAATAAACAGGTCTCGCAGTCCAGCGATCCAATCGGAGCTCTTGTGCGATGTCAGGGCGTTCAACAAAACACCTTCTTGCCGTTGCCACGTTATGCTGACCGCTGAGAGGGTCGTAGTAGTACTTGTTCACAGATTCGAGGTCGAAATCATCGGGCAACACCCTTCTTGCTCTCACAATCCTCCCTGAAGCGTCAATATGCAATGTATCATGGAGGACAACCAACAAAAGGACAGGCTTCTCATACAATGTACAAACATTCACACCGGCAGCTCCAGTCATTCTCTCTCGCATAGCAGCCTCACCCGATACAACCATTGCGTCATAAATGTCGTCAACTGTCTGCTGCACAAGATAGCGTTGATTGTATCTGAATTCCCCGTCGGGGATATCTAGAATTCGGTCGAACTGGACAGAAATAAATTTCATGTCTGGACATTGGTTCCCACGCTCGTCCAACTCAAGGAAGAAGTCTTTGTTGAGAACACCAGAAGAAGTCACTGATGACACGTTTCTCAAGCTTGGAGGCCTAGTAACTGTCTTTCCTTTGGCCTCTTCATCTGATTGCGGTTGTTCCGCTGGAAAAACAGAAGTCTTTTCCATGACACCACCTTTTGCCTTTCTTTTCTTTGGCTGCTGTTTTTTCTTCGCGGCTGCCTCAGTCTCCCGTGTTCGCTGGACCGCCTCATCCACGGGCATTATTTTCAATTGTTTTTTTTCACCCGCTTCTGGCCTACTCCGTTTACTATCCATAAGACTTTTCCTTCCCCGCTTGTGCTTCCTCTTTCGCTCAGCGCGCCCTGCAGCATCTGTATGCCTAGCCACAGCCACTGTCGCGTGCGCATCCCCCTCACATCCTTCGTAGTTGCGCCCATATCCTCCTGCTTGACCAACCTCCCCACCTAATTCGCTCATAGTGTGCTCACTGTCTTCATCTTGTCCAACCACTTTACTTGTCTCTCCTGGATTCCTCATCATGCCGCCGCCGCCCGCAGCATACTGTTTCTGTCCTCCTGCTCGTTCCGAATATTCGTCGTTGTTCTCTTCATCCTCATCTTCAAAATACTCATGTGCTTCCTCTGCGCGGCTTGGCACAGTGTAGTCATAGTGTTGCTGGCCTCCCAAGGGGAGATGTCCCTTGGTGGCCACATCATAGCGCGATCGGCTGCCCAAGGCAGCTGGTGCTTTGGTCGTCGTTGGCCTGGTTTTCATAGGGGCTGACGGTACGACTAGTCCGCGGCACGGACCCTTCTCTCCGATCTGCCCAGCTTTCGGATCAGGCGGCATATCGCGGATCGTGAACGAAGGCCCTGTCTCCACAGTTTTCGAAAGCACGCATTTAGGCTCTGCCATGCAGTCTTCGAGATGCACAACTGACTCTCTGCCCGCGATCACATTACTGTCGAAAAACCCGAGGACGTCAACGAGGTTAGGCAATTTCACTGTCAATGTCCCTGGTGGGTGGAACACATCAACCAGCGACTTTCCGAACCCCTCGTGGTTGGCCCATCGAAGAGCGACGTGTTTAATGTTTGGTATTCTTTCCCCTCTTCCATTCAGGACCATCGTCAACTCGAAAGTTGCAAACGGCACATTTTATCCAGTCCACCTCACCAGGCCGCCAACCGGCACAATATTGTCTTTGATGACCACATACAAAACAAGGTCACTCGATGGTTGTCCGGTCTCCCCCACCCAGTCCAGCATCCAGAACTTGTCCTTGTGGTCAATCACGGGCACATCGTCTCGCCGACCCGCGGCAGTCGTTTCACCAAACGCTTTACGTTCGACAGACAGTTTACGTTCGACAGACGGTTTACATCCGGGCACAACCTCCACTGCAGATCTCCCCTGCTGCGGACCACGCACATGTTCCTGACCCGCAGGCCCGCCAGTCATCAATACAGCCTTATCCGGTCCAGAGCCCCGAACACGAGTCGACGGAGTGTCCGTGGAAGGTGCACCCCTCGGAGTCGGGGTGCGTTGCCGCTTAGACCCCGGCGCCTCCTAACTCCCAACCCCAGCGGCCATCGTCCCCTTCGATTTTTTCGGAGATTGTTCCATGCTCCCAGAATTCTTACTTGCTCATCGTTTACTTGCCTTCCCCTCTCCTTCCATGTTTTGCAGCGCTGCCGAATCTGAAAGCAGCACAACACATCACCGTGAAGCAAAATATCAGAAGGCCGCACAATGTTGGCATGGCACGAGCAGCAGAAAAGTTTTAGATAGTGATAAGGCAGCACAGCTCCTTCGTGACAAGGTCGCCCCGATCGTGTTCAATTCGATTGTGATCGTGCCCGTGGTCAACACGATCTTGTTCGGCACGAGCGTGACAAGCAGAGATGAGCACCGGGTACCCAAACCCGCACCCACCTGCACTCACCCCACCCACGAGGACATTGGGTCAGGTGCGGGTCTTGATAAGGTGACCTGGGTGGGATGAGGGTGGGTCAAGGCCTGACAGCCTGGGTGGGTGACAGGTGGGTCAACATTAGGCCTGTGTCACCCAAGAGGGTGGGTGACAGGTGGGTGAGTGTTAGGCCTGGGTCACCCGACCCACAGACCCAGGATTACCCATGAGAACCCCCTTCCCCCCCCACCCCCCCCAATCCCTACACGAAATGTCCACCCGCCTAAAAAAGTCGAAGGTGCATACACGAAATGTCAAGTCCTGCTGTCGGCCTGCCTGGAAAAAAAAGAAAGGTCGAGGTCCTCCAGGAAAAAAAAAGCAGGAACCTTCTTTCAAATTTTTCGCACGCTCCTCTTGCCTTTTGGCGGCTGCACCACGGCCCAAATTTGGGTGAGTTACCGCTGTCAAACGGGATGCTGAGTTTCGCTCCCATTAAAACAACAGGGGGCGAACCCAACCACAACAGTTGGCAAGGTTCGCTCCCCACTTTTGAACTTCTGGTGCGCATTGAATTGTGGCGCCATCATCCAGCGACGACACAAAATGTGCATGGTTCAGCAGCAGGGAGGAGGTGGCGGGGTGGCGAGGAGGGGAGCAACGCACCGACGGCCTGGGGAGCAACAGCGTGGCTGCGAGCCACGCACTGACGGCCTGAGCAGCAGTCGAGAGAGAGAGAGAGAGAGAGAGA